TAACTTTGTAAGTACAATGCCATGATAGGAAACTTTGTAAGTATAATACCATGATAGAAAACTTTGTAAGTACAATGCCATGACAGGAAACTTTGCAAGTACAATGCCATGATAGGAAACTTTGTAAGTACAATGCTATGATAGGAAATTTTTATAAAGTACAAAATTAAACGAACCTCTTGGGATGTTATTGTACTAGATGTTCCTTCCAAAAAGCTCGCTGGATCAGACACAGATCCGAATCCATATATTCTTCCTTTCTTGACTCCTCCGGAAACATCACACCATGTTTCATTATCCAAGAGGGGTGGCAACTAGTATCATCACCAAACTTAGCCACCATAGCACTTTCATAAGCCTCCTATTATAGAAAAAAAAAATATGAAAAAATAATAACATGAAATAAGGAATAGAATGGTTCATTCCATCCCATTAAATTCATAATACTCAAACCTTGCATAAAGTTGATTACTACTTACAAAACACTTAATTACAACTAGGCAGAGGATCAAACATTTAGTTGATTACTACTTACGAAAGATTTGTTTTCTGTCAATTAGTTGCTTTAACAAAGTCATTAACCCGAGTAGTAGGAAGTTTTGTTTCCTACAAAAGAATTGAAAATACCTTAACTTTAGCTGCCTTTGGTGTAATGTACTCTTGAGTAGACCGTTTAGTGTGCAACCTTGCATAAAGTTCAACTCCTGTAGGAGGGCGTTTAAGAATTGCTTGCTACAAAATCCATTAGTAATACATTAAAAAACAAAACAAAAACTCAACAATCTAAGTGGAAACTAACGTGAGATGCAAACATCTTACCATTCTTTTCTTATGTTGACGAATAGATATAGAACCCCCGGTATGTTTGGAAACAGAGCCATCTTCTAATTTATTTCTGTTATTTTTCCCTGATTGTGATAAACGTTTCCATTTGGATGTGGTCCACACTTCATTGATCATTTTTTCCCAATACTCCTTTTTTATCCAATTTGGGCGATAGTCCTTTAGCAAATTTAAATCACCTTCTAGTGAGGCATTCACATTTGCAGCTTTGGCAAGTTTTAAAGATGCTTCACGTGCTCTTCGCATTACGTCAGGAAATCGTTTCTTCATACAGTCTTCCCATACCTTGCGAGCAAGAACATCAGTCTCTTCGGGCCAAACATACAAACCCTACATGTAGATCACGCATACAATTATCTTTTTCACTTTATACCAATTTTTACTTTGATAAATCATAAAAATAATAAGTACAAACCTTGAAGTGTTCCCACATTGCATCACGATGTTCTTTGTCAACCTTCTTCCATGAGGTCCATGGGCCGTCAAACATCGTCTTCAGTATACATGTGATGGCTCTGATCACTGAAATCTGATCCGTAAATCTTGCAAAAAATTAAAAATTAAAAAATTAGCATTAGTATTATCATTAACAAGTAAATTCATTTTCATAAACAATTGTAAAATTAACTTTAGTACTCCTTTTCAGAATCGACTTCAATGAACTTCCTTTTTGATGGGTTACTTGGAACTTGTTCTAAGATGTTTGATCCTCTAACTGAAGAAGAAGGTTGACTTTCTGCATCATTGTATGATTGGGATGCATTTCTATCTCCAGCATCACGACCACTAATGTGACTACCACTGCGACCACCACCACGGGCTCCTCGTTGCGCCATTAGTCAAAAAATAACCCTTAAAATCAAGAATTAATAAACTATTGGTTAGAATAAGTATGTATTATAATAGAAAATTATAGAAGTAAGAGAAGGTAACATGCTATAATACACAAATAAATGAAAGTGCAATGTATATAGAAAAAGAAAACGATCATTTTAGCTAAAAAGTTATTTATAAGGTCCATTAGGTAAAATATATAGTTCCAAATACATTGTTTCGTTCTACATTTTTAGTAATTACTCATCATCAGAATTATCATCACATATGTTTTCATCTTCAATATCATCTTCGGATGAATCATCCAAGTTATCATCAACTTCTTCATCCTCTTCTCTCTCAATGTCATTGTCATTAACTTCTTCTATTTCTCCTTCAATTACATGAGAAAGGGGTCCTGCCACCTCATTTGCACCGCTACTTGTAGAAGGTAAAGTCGCTTCACTTTCTTGAAAGAATTGGTCCTCTTCATCCTCATCATCATCTTCTTCAGTAACACATTGTCGTAGATCATATACACCCCTTGGTTTGTCTTGACGACAGCCCACCAATCTTTCAAATCCTTCATTGCAGGATATGGTGCATAATACACTTGTTCTGCTTGTGACGCTAGGATAAACGGATCTTCATTTCTTAGCCTTGATTTGTATTTAATATCAACCAAATTATGCTTTCGATCCACACGTACCCCTTCAGTAGGGTTAAACCATGTACACTTGAACAATACTACGACACAACGCCCTATGCCTTGATATTCTACTTCCAAGACCTCATCCAACAACCCATAATAGTCACACTCAGTCTCATTGTAACAAGTACCTCTTACACATACACCACTATTGTGTGTGACCCGTCCATCACCATATTTTTCAGTATGAAACTTGTATCCATTGACAAAGTATCCTTTATATGACCTAACATGTCGTAATGGTCCTCGTGCGAGGCATTTCAAATGTTGATTGATATAATTTGATTGTTGAAAAACCTACATTGATAAATTCATTTGTTAACTAATTCACAGGGGAATACACTTTGGTAATACAAAATTTTCTCGTATCATACTCACATGATCTTTAAACCACTTAGCAAAATGTTGATCCCTAAACCTTTCAAATGCTCCATCATCCATATCAGGTTGGCTTTGGATCACATAATTTTCAAACAACCTTAAAAAATAACAAAAATTTTAGAGTTTCACGAAATCAAGGAAAAATAGATAACTTGACATACCTTAAAAAAGGTAGAACCTCAACACAATTGATCAAGATGTAATTATGAGCAATACGCAACTCATCATCTGTCAAAGGCCTCCGTTGACCACTTTTTTCGAATAATCTTCGAGATGGAACTTTGAAAATGCTTAATCGAGAGTCGACCATGGTATAACTAGGAATGTCTGGGGCAAAATTACGCGACTCACGATTCAACCGGGTTTCAATTGTAGGCAAAAAGTATTGTGAGCAAAAAGTCGATATTCTCCAATCATGTAAGCCTCAACAATGGACCCCTCAACCTTTGCATGGTTTTTTATCTTTCTTTTCATTGATCCCAATTTCCTAAGAAGATGTTGGAAAAGACTTATTAGAAATTCCATAGGTTTTATGGTAGAATATTTTGTATGGTAAAAAATATACCTTTCATAAAGATACATCCACCTATATTGAACCGGACCACCAAGCATAGCTTCTCGAGCTAAGTGGATAACAAGATGCTCCATTGAATCAAAGAATCCAGGTGGAAATATTTTTTCCAACTTGCAAATGGTTTCAACAATAGTAGTTTGCAAGCGTTGTAAGTCATCTACGCGTAACACCCTTGAACATATTACACGAAAGAATGTACACAACTCTGTAATTGCATCCCATGTTGAGTTTGGCACCATACCTCTTAGAGAAATAGGCAACAATCTTTGAAGAAATACATGGCACTCATGACTCTTGAATTTGTAAAAGCTATTATCATCTACATTAACGCACCCCCCCAAGTTTGAGGTGTATCCGTCCGGGAATTTAAGTTTAATCAACCATTGGCATATTTTAGCTACTTGTTCTTTGCTCAAAGAAAACGATGCTCTCTTTTTCATATCCTTATTTCCCTTCTTCCATGTATGCCATTGCACTCGATTGCAATACATTTCTATATCTTTTCTTGCATTCATGTTGTCTTTGCTTTTTGGAGTGTCCATCACGGTGTTGAAAAGATTTTCAAACACATTTGTCTCAATGTGCATGGGATCAAGGTTGTGTCGTATTAACAACTTCCGCCAATATGGTAGCTCCCAAAAGATGCTCCTCTTAACCCAATTATGAGTAATCCCGAAACCAGGCAATTTTGCATTCTTCGCTCTAAAAGGTTTGCCTTCATAAACAGTTGGAAAGTGTCGTACTTGCTCCCAAATTTGATCACCGGTTAATATTGGTGGGGGGCTAGATCGCTCAACCTTATTAGCCAGAAATCCTATTTTATCACCCCTATATGTGTGTTGTTCAGGTAAAAATTTTCGATGGCAGTCAAACCAACATGGTTTACTACCATGGTGTAACCGAAATGACCCCGACTCACCCATACAATACGGACATGCTAACTTGCCATGTGTGCTCCATCCCGATAACATTGCATAAGCAGGAAAGTCACTAACTGTCCAAAGAAGTATAGCTTTCATTGTGAAATTGCATTTAGTCGAAGCATCATAAGTCACAATACCATCTGTATATAGCATCTTTAACTCGTCAATTAGCGGCCTGAGAAACACATCTATATTTTGACCTGGGCTCTTTTTTCCAGGAATAATTATGCTTAATTGAACATATGGTTCTTTTAAGCACATCCAAGGAGGCAAGTTATAAATTGAAAGGAAAACAGGCCAACATGAATATGGGGTTGTATTTGAGTTATTTGGACTGAACCCATCGGTGCATAGCCCAAGGCGAACATTCCGTGGTTCACTTGAAAATTCTGGATGCAATGAGTCGAAATGCTTCCAAGCCTCACCATCACTTGGATGGACCATCAAACCCGGTTCGGTCTGATGTTCATAGTGCCATTTCATTTGCTTTGCCGTCTTTTTTGTTAAATACAACCTTTGGAGTCTAGGAGCAATCGGCAAGTACCTCATAACCAGATAAGGCAGTCTGCCACTCTTGTACCGATCATGATCACACACCCGACACTTAGTCAAATCCGAATCTGCCCCATAGAATATCATGCAATGGTTTTTGCAAGCATGAATCTTTTTTTCTGGGAGTCTAATTATTTTCAAAAGCTTCTTTGTCTCATAGAAGTTCTCAACTAGTTTCTCACCTTTGGGTAGCATTCGCTTAATTATAGGAAGTATGTGATCATAGGCAGCCTCAGATATATTGTATTTTGACTTCCAATGCAACAACTCTGTTGCAGCTTGTAATTTTGAATAATTTTCACATCCATCCCACAAAGGTTCATCATTTGTGTACACCCATTAAGATCATCATCATCATCATCTTCCATCGGATCCTGCATCGGATTAGAAGATTCTTCCTCATGCTGAGATATCGTATTTCTTTCACCATGTGCCCACCAAGTTGTGTAATTTGGAGTGAAACCGTTTTGTAACAAGTGAAGCTCTACATCACCTCTTGTTTTATAATACATGTTCTTGCATTTAAAACAAGGACATCTAATATAATCTCCATCAACAGTTGCTTCATTAGAAAAAGCAACATCTAGAAATCCTTTGACGGATGCATGATATGCTATGCTAAGATACCCATGATCTAACCTTTTGTACATCCAATCTCTATCACTACGTGTTGACATAATGACTAGCTACAACAAAATATATAACTACTATTCAGAACCTAGATAGAGATTAGATAAAAACTAGCTACAACAAAATAAGAAGAAGTGGATGACAATAAATCCTTGGGAATAAACAAGAACCGGAAAGGAGAGAAAGTAATCAAATAAATTCTAAGTGATAGACATATAGCAAAGAATAAGATAGAGCTTTAATATGTTTACACAAGTGACTATGTTATATAATCTATTAATAAAAAAATGAAGTCATTAACATTTCAAAGTATATTCATTGTGCTTATTGTATTGTGGAGGTAAATGTTGGAGATGGATAATATTTATTCTTGTAATTTTAGTTATTTGTCATATGACTATCTTAATCATGCATATAGATTGGGTATAGATACTAAATGTTGTAATCAATCTTCATAATTACAACCAATCCATGTTTTTTTATTTTTGTTTTCCTAAATGTTGAACATGTCAATAGGCTGAATCAAAATAGATATGATGAGACAAGAGACTTGAATCAAGAAAAAGACATAAGAGAGACAAAAGAAGGTCAAAAGATGGTTGACTTTCTAAAAGTGTGATTTGTGATTGGTAATCTACTCGCATTCAGACAGTTCGTTCAGTCGATAAGTAAATACACAAAACAAGAAGGGTAAAATGGTGATTTACTCACATTAAGTCCATATGAATTAGACAAACAGAAGGGTATAGTGGTCATTTAGCACAAATGCTCTAAAAAACATTATTAAGTTATGTTGAGTTTGTAATGGTGTACCTGTCTCAGAGGAGTGACATTGATATCAGCTGCAGAAATAGATGTGGAGGAGGAAGTTGAAGTTAAAGTTGAAGCTGCAGAAATAGATGTTTCAGGTTTGTTAATAAAAACATGCATTCAAGGGTTGAAAAAACTCAGCTATGATATAAAATTTGATTTGGATTGTTGGATAAATAAAACCTCCAAATCTGGTTTGTTAATAAAAACGTTGTAGATGATGACTCATAATATGAAATACCTAAAGTACCCTTGGTACAGGAAACGGGAAAAAAAAAATTGGACAGCAGTTTGTGTCATCAATAATTTGTAAAGATTAATAGCAGGTAAAAACAAGGATACTTTGGGTGGAATCCATCTAAAAATAAAGAAAAGATTGCATTCAAAAATCTAAACAAATTATAAGTATTTATATTAATTTCATCTATCTCAGATCATATCGATCTTTATCCATGAGCCAATCAAGCCAACTAGTATTTGCCATTTGGCATATTTTCTTCTTGGGCTTTTTCTTTTGTCATAGTTATAACTTCTCCCTTCGTAAAATTCTTTTCATATGTGATTCATCATTGGGTTGGGTCGATGAAGTTTTGTTTACTGATCATATAAAATTAAATATTATTAATTTCATATTTGGGTTTAGAACTATAAGTTAAATATAATATATTGTTCATTTACTAATTTAACAAATAAAATAAGGAAATTAAGTAAAAAAACCGTATTAACAAAATAATTAAACAAGTCAACAATATGTTTAGTTTGTGACACCCATGTACCTACCTGGATAGATTTTCCCAAAATATGTAAGTTGTCAAATTAGTTTGATAAACTTAAATTCCAAATTCTATGACTATACATTTAAACTTGTCAATATTTAATCGGCGGAAATCGTGGTAAAAATGGTTAAACTTAAAAATAGCCCTTTATACAACTGTCTAAGTGAATTTTGTCTGAGGTCATCATGCTTCATATTTACAATATTTTTTGAGATATCTTGATATTTTTATTTCTATCAAGACAAGTATCAATTTTAAAAGATGTAATTAAAAGTAAATTAGTGGTAAATTAAATATCTTCATATTTTTATTTATATCAAGACAAGTATCAATTTTAAAAGATGTAATTAAAAGTAAATTAGTGGTGTATTGTCCATATGTTATTATTATATATAAGTAGAAAGATATGTAAAAACAAAATGTAGAAGAGTATTTAATTTTTTATATTTTTTTTGGGTAAATTACAAAGTTGGTCCCTGATGCAAGTTTCAAATTGTACGTTAAATTCATATTTTTTTAAAATAAACTCAGGCTATCCATTATAAGTTTGAATTCATATTTTTTAAAAATCAACTCAGACTATCCATTATAAGTTTAAATGTTGCACGTTTAGTCTCTTGAAGAAAAGAAGTTTGTAACCATCACCAGAAATCTGGATCATTATGACCGTCTCTCTCTCTCTCTCTCTCTCTCTCTCTCTAGATCTGAGACGATCCAATTGTTAACGAAGTTCATATCTATGTCGATAAGTAAATACACAAAACAAGAAGGGTAAAATGGTGATTTACTCACATTAAGTCCATATGAATTAGACAAACAGAAGGGTATAGTGGTCATTTAGCACAAATGTTCTAAAAAACATTATTAAGTTAAGTTGAGTTTGTAATGGTGTACCTGTCTCAGAGGAGTAACATTGATATCAGCTGCAGAAATAGATGTGGAGGAGGAAGTTGAAGTTGAAGTTGAAGCTGCAGAAATAGATGTTTCAGGTTTGTTAATAAAAACATGCATTCAAGGGTTGAAAAAACTCAGCTACGATATAAAATTTGATTTGGATTGTTGGATAAATAAAACCTCCAAATCTGGTTTGTTAATAAAAACGTTGTAGATGATGACTCATAATATGAAATACCTAAAGTACCCTTGGTACAGGAAACGGGAAAAAAAATTGGACAGCAGTTTGTGTCATCAATAATTTGTAAAGATTAATAGCAGGTAAAAACAAAGATACTTTGGGTGGAATCCATCTAAAAATAAAGAAAAGATTGCATTCAAAAATCTAAACAAATTATAAGTATTTATATTAATTTCATCTATCTCAGATCATATCGATCTTTATTATCAGGTATTTTTTTTTTCCTATATTAGCAATGTGCTTATTTTCTTCTATTTTTTTTTTAATAATTTGTAAATGATTATATTTTCAGGGAATGGGGAACAACATTTGTTGAGACCTGGGCAGTTTGACCGATAGGTGACAGTTGACCACCAGGTCCACCACCACCACCACCACCACCTCCCAGAAGCAATCATTCCGATGAAATAGAGAAAGTTGAAGTGGAGCCCCCTGTTGCTCGTGTTGAGGAGGATGACATCTTTGTATGAGAAGGAATTGACTATTCTGTCCCTAGTAAAGATATAAGCCAAAGCCCATTGTCAGAAGACATGGAAGAATCTCCTAAAAGAAAAGAGAGACCTTCCAATTTCAATGAGCCAGCTTATGGCCCTGTTCCACCCTCGGACCCATCTCAAGACTGGCAACAAACAGTGAGAAAAATAGCAAAATACTTTTATTTACTATTTTACCCTCACCTTGCTTAACAATTTACCAAATTTTTAGAATGGGTATGATGCTATGCAAGTACAAGGCTATCAGGGAGAGTGGCAGTAGGAGTATCAATATGTGGAGCCGATGGGGTACCCCGAACAATATGTCCACCAAGATGGTCAAATGTATGATATGCAAGGAGGTTTGACCATAGAAGGGGACCCACATTTAATGACACAAGAAGAGAAAGATAGAGGTTTAGGGTCGGTGTTTAAGCGGGATGATACAAGGCTTCAACAATTAAGGTAAAAATATGCTCGTAAGAAAGATCCGAATTTTATATCCGAGAGCTATTCAGAATGTTATCCGGGTTATCAAGAATATAATCGTGAGGTTGTTGATAGTGATGATGAAGCTGATTTATCCAAAATGGATATGGGTGGTCGAGTAAGTGTTTTTTTTTTCATTTACAATTGTATGTTAATGGGAGATGAAATATGTTAATTATGTAATATGTATAAAACAGGAAAAGGGTTGGCTTCATAGGTGGGACTTTGAGACAGAAGAGGAATGGGCGACATTAGGAAGCCATGCCAAAAGCTGCATTTCAGTTTGGTGTGAAGATGCAAGTTTGACCCCGAAAAACACATAGAGGCTTATTTACCTGTTAGAGTCAATGAACAGCGAGTCACAAATTTACTTCAATCTACACTTGTGGGATTTGCAGTTTTTGCTATTCCTGCTATCAGAATGATTCCCACTTCAGTTCTTTGGGGTTAATTCGCCTACATGTCAATCGATAGTCTTCCTGGAAATCAATTTTGGGAACGATTGTTTCTCTTTTTTTTCATCCCTACTGGTCGACGTTTCAAGTAAGCCCCGTTTTGATTTGACATGAAGTAAATTCCCAATTTACCCTTCTGACGTTATTGTGGGTTTTATTTGAACAGAGTGTTGGAGTCGCTTCATGCGTCATATGTGGAATCGGTTCCATTCAAATACATAACAATGTTTACATTCAAATGTAAGGGTTCATGAATCCTTAAATTCTCATGAACTGGAAGACAAACTATGATGAATCAAGCCCTAACTCAAGTTCTAATTCTAAGTGTCTATTATTATATAGATGCAATTGATGGTAGACCTGAACCTAACTTGCAATTGATGGCATTTCATATGGCTACGAAACACAGTAACCAGAAACTTTCAAGGTAAATTAAACCCTAACAAAGTATATTGTGAAATTGAACTAAAACTAACCTAAGAGGGATGAGATTTACCTGAATCGGAGGTTAACGAAGAATACTTTCAAGTTTAAAGATATCGAGGTTGCCGAAATCGGGTGAGTAGCATCGTCATCTGCTCGAACAGAGATAGTGAGATAAAGCAGAAGCTAATTTCACTTAGTCAAGAGTGATAAATCTGGAGGGAAGTAAAGTTACACTGCCTTCGTGAAGATGGAATTGGGTGTGTCAATTTCAGCGAGAGAAAAAAAGAAAATGCGCGCACCCAAATAAAGTTTCCGTCGTCGTTCTCTCGCTAAACGCATACCATATGGCACAATTTTTTATCCCTCGCTGAACCCTAGCTAAGTGTCTTCATTTTTCGAGTGATTAGCGAGGAATAGTCGTCCGTCGTTAAATACTTGTAAGATCCGTAGCTGATCCCTCAGTAAATCCTCACTAATATTCCATATATTTAATAAATAAAATAATTACCAAAACCATGGTAGATCTGTCGTTTTTTCCTAGCTATAAGTCTAAATTTTGCTAGAGAATAAATCCGTAGCAAAATCCGTAGCTGAAACTCAAGTTTCTAGTAGTGTTGGTACATTTATATTGCCTCATTGTTCATGCATGATAGTCACCATCTCTAAAAAAATAAAAAGTACCTCCCAGTTTCAATGGAAATTTGATATTGAAGCTCTGATTTGTATGGTCCAAATAGAAATATGCCAAATGATCGAAGTTTTCGTGAGAATAATTTATAAAAGAAACGTACAAAATGATATGTTTTGATTTTTGTGCATATTCTACTACAGTGTTTAATTTTGATTTTTGAGAGGTCTCTTTATGAATATTTTTATCTTGAGATTGATTTATTAAAACATCTATAAGCGTGACTAGGCGTAGCAAAGCAACTTGAGGTCTTCATGCTAATGAAGCACACAATTCCTACACTTGCCACGAATGTGATTTAACTTGTTGCCATCATAAATCAAGTACTTCTTACTTCTTAGCTTCAACATGTTGATTCCCTTAGCTATATATATGCATAATTTAATGTCAACAACTTCCTAAAATTATGTCATTTTTTTATGTATGTACGTTAGTTATTTAAATAACAGTTGAGTGATTTTACACGATAAAATAAACCACGAAGACTTTTCATTTGTTTTGAGTTATTTGTTCACACTAACGGTGTACTTGGAATATAATAGATCTCCCACACCATACACGCTATATTTCTTTTACTTTGCTTAGCATCCAGTTACACCATCCACTTCAATAGTTCTAGAATGTCTATTGCTTACTCTAGACATCACACAAGTTGCTTATCAATTACCAGTTTTCTAAACCGCTCTATATTTTTTTAGCTTTTATTTCTAAGCCTATACACTTTTAATTGCCTCACTTCTTGTAATCTAGGATTCCCAAAATTGTGCCATGTCTTGTAAATAATGTATTATTAGGGTTACCTGTTTACGCGCATATATCGTTGATTGGCAAACAACTATATTAAGCAGCCATGTTTTATTGCTAAATGGTGAACTTTACTTCGTTAGGCAACATATTCTTAGTCTTGGACTGAATTACACTTGGAATTGGTTAAGCAAGAAACTAAGGGTATGAGTTAAACATATGGGAGGGAGACCAACAAACCGCTAAATCTTATTTTGTAATATTCATGAAAATATCACTTATTAAATATAAAGGAAGTTGAAAATCTCTTGGTCAAGGTTGAAGCAAACCTTACACGTATATATTTCTGTATTATAGTCTAGTTGAAGTCTCCCTTACAATTTTATAGCTAGTGCATTGTAAAACTAATTAATTAATTCATTCATTGGAGTATATATCCCCTATGACTTAGCTAGTATTGAATACCGTTTAATTCTCGTCAATGTAGCATTACTATTGCTTAGTTTAAACTTCTTACACAACTGGTTCACTTGTAGATCTTTGACTACACTTTCCTTGTATTTTCTTTCTAACATTTTGTCACCTTTCTAAGCTTTTTTATATTCTTGACACGGTTGAGTACAATGGTTCATTCTTGGTAGGACACCTTTTGACTGGGTATATAAAGCACACAACCCCTTTCATCAATTCCACCCCATTTCCTCCTTCCTCATCTGTGGTAATCTAGCTACAAAACCCACAAACCTTTGCCTTCTAGAAAGCTACCAAAACCTCTCTCTTATTCTTAGGCATGGATAAAGTTGTCTTTTACTTGCTAATTCTCCTTAACACCATCCAATACGTCTATGGTGCTGGTATAAATATCACCCCCCTTGACTTTGTCAAAACCTCATGCAAAACCACCCGCAACCAGGCTCTCTGTGTCAACTCTCTCTCAAGTTACGCTGGTTCTATCCAAGGAAGCGATCAGCAGCTTGCTAAAGCAGCCATTGCGGTTAGTTTGAACAATGCCAAGTCAGCAGCTGCACTCGTTTCCAAACTCTCTGGAACATCGAAACTAAAACCACAAGAGTACCAAGCACTGAAAGACTGTGTCAATAGCATGTCCAGCTGTATTGCAAGTCTAACTCAGTCAGTTCAGGAGCTTGGTAAGATGGGTCAGTTTAAGGGAAAGAATTTTGATTGGCACATGAACAGTCTTCAAACATGGGTCAGTTCTGCGCTTACAGATCAAAACACTTGTGCTGGAGGGTTTTCTGATAGATCAATGAATGGAAAAGTGAAGGATGCTCTTAATAAGAAGATGAATTCGGTTGCACAAGTCACCAGCAATGCACTTGCTTTAGTAAACGGGTTTGCTTTGAGGCATAAAGCAGGTACCCATAAACCTTAAGGGTTATACATTTCCGTGGAAAGAGGTTGGCTTTCTAGTAATATTATAATGTGCCACAAGGTTTTTTTTATCCTTAATAAGGATTGTGTTTTTGACTGGTCTATGTTGCTGGTTTCCTTTAAAACATGTTACTTTTTGTGGCTAAGGTTATACCTTGCTCAGGTTTTTGTTGCCTTACGGGTAATTTTATAACAAATTGTAGCTAATTAATGTAATAAAGATGGCACCTTATAAGATAACTTTTGTTGTTTTTGGACAAGTGAAGGATCCCTTTTCCACCTTAACATGCATATATTGCATGGAGGTCCGGATTTGTGCAATTTGGAAACCTTTTGGAAATGTTGTTCTGAAATTAGCAATGACTCTCATGTTCGCTTTTGGACGCTAGCACGATTACACCGATTGTGTCAACCACATTAATTCTCGTTATTATCATATTATGAGTTTATCATTATAAACCCTAACTAAAAGGTCGTTTAACAGAGTGGTTGAATACTATGTTTACAATAATATATTGGACGGAATTACCCACAAGCATGGTGAATTACACAACCATGTCCATGAAGCATTCACTTCATTTTATGTTTTGGGAACCAAAGAGCTGCAAAGAAAACTTCAATTTGAATCGGATTTCTAGTAAAAGTTAGACCTGAACACAACAAGAATTCAGCCCTTTAGCGACGTCATCAATAGCGACGGCGTCATCCTTTAGCGACAACAATTGATCATACCACCAATAAAGAGTATTGTCATCTCTATATACGTCGTCGCTAAAGGTCTGTAACCGCCAATCCTCGTTTGCCACATGTCATCGTGACCGTACGATGCTAAACGGATCTATCGTGTAGGGTTTCATCTCGTGGAAAGCAATAGCGACAACATCAATTGTGATGACTTATCGCTGCTATTGATGGATATCCGCGTCAATGTCATCCTGACCGTTCGATTGATTTCGGATCAGACGGTTAATAGTGGCCACAGAATGACGCGTGTTTTTCTCTCGAACATGTAGCCGCTATTGCCTATTCGTCGCCGCAAAAGGTGCCGCCCTTTTGACTCCCACTTCGTCCCAGACGAGTCATTTTCTACAACTTTTCTTTCTCGCAAAACCTCCGGCAAAGCTCTTTTTTCCGGCGTAAGACACCAATTCATACCACCACTAACCGTTGATTGCTTCTAGGGCTTCAATTTCCGTTGATTTCCACTGATTTCCGACGATTTCCAGCGTTTTCCGGCGAGTTTCAAGTTTTCCGGCGACCCTAAACCTCCTGTAACTTACGTTTTCTTTTCCCTTTTCCATTTCTCTTGTTTTCTTACCATATTTAGCTCTAATTTCATGTTTTTTTAGTGTTTTTAACTAGTCTTCGGTGGTGGTCACCACCACAGCAACACTAGTGTCACTATTTTTGGCAACTGGTTACTTTTCCGGCGACTCAGCAAGTGCCTCTTTCTTTTTCCTTTTTGTTTTTTTTTTTGTTCTTAATGTATAAGTATATGTGAATTGTATATAATTTGGTATGTAAAATTTATAATTTGGTTTGTGAAATGTATGTATTTTGGTATGTGAAATGTGTGTATTTTGGTATATATATATGTGAAATCTACATGTATGAATAT